ATTACAGTATTTCTTGACTTATTGTAATATTTGCAGATTGTTCATGAAATGGTATGTTACTGGCTATAATATTACTAAAATTAATATCACACCACTTCATAAATAATATACAAACCATACAAGAGTATAATTCCACTAATCCCTTCTACCTTTTGTCCTATTCTTACCACATATTTTACTTCTTCATTTTATAAACCCTACATACATTTCTACTGTCAGCCAATAGTCTTAAACAATTTTAAAAATATATATTCATATTTTTCTATTTATACTGTATAACTGTATTTTATACTTCCCACACGTATACCCTTTTTAGTGCTTTTCACTTCTTCCTGCAGATTAGTACTTCCATCTGGGTCCATCCTCTTCCTCCTGAAGAACTTCCTTTAGTAAGTTTAGCGCAAAGGTATGCAGGACATTAATTATCTCAGCTTTTATTTGAAATGTCTTTATTTTCCTTTCATTTCTTAAGGATATTGTCTCCATGTACAGAATTTTGAGTTATCAGTTTTACTCTTTCTGTACTTTAAGAATGTCTTTCCAGGGCTGTGTTTGTGGCTCAGAAGTAGAGCACTTGCCTAGCATGTGTGAGAACTGGGTTTGAGTCTCAGCACCACATAAAAATTAATTAATCAAAGGTATTGTGTCCATCTACAACTTAAAAAAATACAAAAAAAGATTGTCAAGACTGTCTTTTTAATATCTCACTTTTCTTTGCTAACTTTTTATACCACTGAACAACTGTGTTTCTGTTTCTTTGGCTGCTTTTAAGATTTTTTTGGCTTTTAGCATTTTAAGATATCCCTAGGTTCAATTTTCTTTATATTGATCCTGCTTGAGGATTGCTTCCTCTTAATCTGTTGGTTGATATTTTTCATTAATTTGAGAAAATTCTTGCTCATTGTCTTTTTTGTTGCACTCATATATCTCCTTTTCATCATCTAAAACTCCAATGGCATATATATTAGGCCATTTAATATCAGATAATATATCTCTCTCTTTCTTTCTCCTTCAAATTTGGATAATTTCCAATGACTGGCCTTGGATGTCATTGATCCTTTCTTCTGATATCTGCCATTTAAACCCATACAATTAATTCTTAATTTCAGATGTTATTTTTCAGATCTAGAATGTATATTTAATCTATCTTTTCCTTCATTTTATCTTTCCCATTGACATCACTGTAAGCTCTTTATAAACCCTGTGTAATACTGCATTTGGTTGCTCTTTCACTCTTTTTCTAATTATTATTTTTTTCTCCTGATTAGGGGATCATATTTTTTTATTCTCTCTACATAGATTTTTCCTTTTGATTTTATACTGAACATTTTTTTTTTCAAAAACTCTAGAGTCTATAGAGACTAAATATTTTTTCTAAGTGAGGGCACATCATGTCATTTCTCAAGGTAGAACTTGAATAAGGAGTTAAGCTAGATCAGTGTTAGGTTGAAGCTTTAGTTCATTCCTCATACTTCTTAAAGAGCAAGGCCTATTTTGTTTGTAATACAGGATCAGGACTCTATTTCTCATATATGCTTTAAAATAAGTTTATTTACTTCCTTAGAAATTTCAATTCTGTTCATTGAATCTGTTTGATTTGGTAATTTGGGGGCCACAGAAAGACAATATATCTCAGTTTCTCTTCTAGCACTGGGACCAGGTGACTTGTGTCTTAGCCATTTAGGTAGAATGTAAATAAAAATGACTTGTCCATAAAACCTCCTGGATTAATCCCCCATGCTTTCTTGTCCTTTTGGTAACTTTGGAGGCCACATGATAAAGAAAGATGGTGGCATTAAAAATCATAATGCCCTTTCTCCCAACTGATTGCATTAGATAAAGATGTAAGCAAGCATTCTGCTTTTATGGCGTGAGTCTCAATATGTTGGCATTAGAACAATAGCCTAGCCTCATCTATATAGAACCATATTGAATTTGTGGAGTATTTCTAGGGAGAAATAACACATTTATATTAAAACATTACAATTAAGAGTACAGTCTCACCATTATTCATGTCTTTTATATCTTTTTAAAGAATTTAATTTCTTCATTAGAAGATTGTGCTAATTCAATTCTATTATTATTATAATTTCACTTGCCTATAATATCTAGTTGATTACTATAGGCAGAAAGGAATCTGGAGGATTATTACAGTTGATTTTTGTAAAATGGCTTTATATATTACAAACTTGAATTCTCTTATTAACTTAATGTTGGTAATAATACTTGTATATGTGATATCATCTGCAGAAATGACATATTATCTCTTTCCTGCCAATTTCTTAGAGCTGTTTTTTTTCTTTCTCAGTGTTTTGTTTATTAACTTATCTTAAACAGTAAACTAACAGTAGTTTTTGTTTTTGTTTTCCCCAATCATCCAATTTGGCTATCTGATCTTTATAAAAATTTTATATCTATGTTTATAAACAAAATGCCTCTATAATTTCCTTGGTATCAGTTCTTCATGTGGTTATGCTTTCTTCTGCCTTGGAATATTTGTATATGCTTATATCCTCTGCCTGAAATACCTCTCCCTTCCAGCACCACACATGTGTACACATAACTAACTTGGCTACCCAACCTGGCTGGTTCCAACTTCTTATCCTTCAGGTTACTTCCCTGAAAATGGAAACTCTACTAAAAATTCTTAATTAATTTTATTGTTCTGGGCCTATGCTTCTTTCTTAATTTGTATGGCTAGTTCATGAAGAGGAGCTGCCACAAATTTCTTTTTATATCTTCTTTACTGAGGCATTATTTACCAAAAAATTTTCAGTAAACATTTTTCCATGGATTTAAGCTTCACTTCTCTTATGAAAACACAGTATTATTACTGCTATTGATATATAATTATCTCTTCTAGATCTTCACAGTTCAATATGGAAGTCACTAGCCAGATGTGGCTATGGAGCACTTGCGGCTACTCTGAACAGAATTAAAATATATGTATGAAATATGTGCTAGGTTTTTAAAACAGTATGAACCAAATAAAGTAAAAGTCTCAATAATTTTTATATTAAGTAGATGTTAAATGATATTTCAGATATATTGGTTTAAATAAAATATATTACATGAATTTCACCTGCTTCCTTCTTTTATAAACCTACTAGAAATTTTCAAAACACATATGGGACAGTGTTATTTCTAGACTGTGGCATTGTAAAAGGAGAAAAGACACAGGCCATAAAGAAAGATAGATGGGTTTAGAGCATACCTTCTTTGCCTATTAGTTACATGGCCTTGGCAAGTTACTTAAAATATCATCTTCATAAGGAACTGTGGGATTACATTAAATAAGACAATTTATGTGTAACACTTGACACCTAGTAACAACCTGATGCTTGTTTTCTTATCTTTCCCTAAGAACAAGAAAAGAGACCACTTATCAGAGTAGCCAGAATTATGACTACATATGCCTTAAGTGAATGAAGTTCATACTAGAACATACAGTTATCAGAATATTTAAAAAATTCATAATATTTTGTCATATGACTCCCAAGACCCATCATTGTTATTTTAAAGTATAACCATATTTTAAGGAAAATATCATTTTATAATTTTATTCATTCACTTTTTCTTGGTTTAATAAATCTTTGCATAGGTAAATACATTTAGTTAGAGCTATATAACAACAAGGAAACAAACAAGAAATAAGTGTTATGAATCTTTTCCAAATAACTGTGTTACAGAAACCCTTAACTAAATGTTACCACAAGAAAGTCCCTGGTCTATTCCACTCACACCTGAAACAATCTGTATAACCTTCAGCTTTCAATAATAGCATTTCATAGTGCAGTCTATCTTTAACATCCTATATTCTATAAATCATTACTTCAAAAACAGAAAATTCTCTAGATGATTCTATAAATAAATAACAAATGTTACTGCACCTGAGCTTAAGAATTCAAAAATGTTTCCATTAGTTCAATCATTAATTTCTAAAGTAAATTAATACAATCTGGGGATATAACTATTCTTTATCATAGTCTGGTTTTTATAATTAAAATATTTTAGTAACTGATAGAAATATAGAAATATTATTTCAAACACTGTGGACATAATTATAAAAATTTCTCCAAACTCCAGAGAAATTTTGAACTTATACACTGAGCTCTTAGTTACCTGAGTTAATCAATGGAACATTCAAGCAGATCACTCAAGTGGACACCCAGCTTGTTAGGGAATCAGCGCCTTGCTCCTGATTAATCAGATCATTGTCTTAAGAACTGGGCTTAAGAAGTCCCTATCAAGGATCTTGACTCTGTTTTTAGCTGTTTTCACTCATCAGGTATGCTGAACTGAAGGTACAAACCTCTGGACAGGCAGTCCATAAGGCCCTTAGCCACAGTTGAAGGACAGGGCATTTGTTCGGTGGAGAAATAAAAATATTCTTGAGAAGGTTTCTGACTGTGAACCAAGGTAATAAGCACTTTACTCTATAAGACATAGCAATGGAAAAAACAATATTAAAATCTAAGGCTGCACAGGTTTTGTAAACAGCAATGATCTTTCTTAGAAATGTCAGATTCTGTTACACAAAAAGAACAAATACAATGTAGGACTGGAATAAGTACACCTGACAAGTTGTTTTTCTCCAGGTAACAAAGTAGTGTTATTTGTGTTTAGCAAAAGTTCAGTTATGCCTAAATTCACTTCTATCTTTATTTTTTAAAAGAAGGAATTAACATAATGGTCAACAAAAGAATTATGAGTTTTAATGCTGATCATATCAATATTACTAATTTTGGTCTTCCCATTAGTTTCTTATATAAAAATGAGTTTCTCAGTAGTAGGTACAATGGCTTTTAAAGAGAATTTGGACAAAATAATTAAGATTGAAACTATAAATAACCAGAAGGTAAATGAAGGAAAATTGTGTAGTGTGAAGTTTGTCCTAACTTATATTAATATTCTATAAATTTTAATGGTTAAAGTAAAATTATCTTAATCTAATCATGTTATGAATCATCCTAAAAGATACTAATATTTAAAAATTATAAAAGACTTCAAGATCTCAATAATGAAGTTAATGTTGGCTAAATTATGCTACTAGTTAGTTTTGGTCTGTATTTTCTGGACCTCTTCAGGCCAAGTATAACAATCAGGTAAAATCTGGTCATAATCAGTACTATACATCTGAGAACAGACAAATGCTTCTTTGTTTTGTGGTTCAGGATAAACTGTGGCTGTCTTTTCTTCATATGCATCGTTCACAATCTAAAATAAGAACAGAATTTTAGTTGTTTTAATTAATAAAACAATTTTAATTGTTTTAATTAATAAAAGGTGATGGTGAATATATATAACAGAAGTTTTTACCCATTTCAAAAATTATCTTATAATTTATATTGTTCTGTTTCCAAGAAGATTGTTAGAGTAAAAGTTCATATAAACAAAGAAGATATAAATGAAAACAATTATAAATAATGTAGCAAGAGGGGGAAAATAATACCAGCAACTTTTCATAAGAGTATGAACAGTGAAGGTTTATTTTTGATTATCTCAAGATTTCTTAGAGAAGCCAGTGTTAAAAGTCTTGACATGACCTGACTGATAATTAACTTTAACTAAATATCTGAATATTACTGCTAAGCTTCAACTTGAATTTTTAAGAATCTCTACTCTGACCATAGCCTCCTACAAAATCTCTGTATTTATCCCAGGGTCTTCCGATCCTGTTAACCTAATAATCTGCAACCCATAATCAGGGTCAGTTCTCCTTGCCAGGGTCATAGAATCTCATCTCCATGACATGTTTTACAAGTACCAGTCTAGACCTTCTTCCATGGACCCCTCAATTCTGGCCTTCTCCTTTTGTGGCTGTCCATCAGAGAACTACACCTGAGTTTTCTGTGGTGTGATACATTTCCTAACCTTACTTAGGCACATCTGGCTGCATATAACAGTACTTTCAATCATTTTTAAATAACCTCCTCACAGTTTCTAAAAGATAATTCCAAACTTCCCCCATCTTCCAAGTCTCCAATTGATTCTCATCACTCTAGAGAGAACTCCAACATTCAGAGAAAACAATCCCAAGCTCCGTTTCACCAACACAAACTATCTCCTCTATACCTTTATACATTCTCTTTTCTTCTACTTTAAGAAAAAAAAATGGATTTTTCTTGTCCAAATTAATCATTCCATTTATACAATGTAACTCATACCAGTTCTAAAACACAGTCACAGAGGAGTTGTTTGTATGATAGACTTATTTGGATAAGTCTGATTCTGAAGAATATTAAAATTAAGTATCTCTTCTCAATGTAAAATTTTGCACTTATGAAAAAGTATGGTTATAAAAACTACTGAACTGTGAAGAAATTTCTATGAAAAAGCAGGAAACAAAAGCATGTATGGACCATAATTGTAAAGATGGTAAAAAAGAAAGCAAACAAAAAGACTAGAAATACATGCAAATAATAAAATAATGCTTATGGTAGAAAAACAGAATACTGGTTATTTGACTTTTCTCTAATTTCAAAGTACCTACACTATTGTATTATTACTTCTTTTTATACAGACTTAATAATTCACCACAAAATTCAAACACTTTAAGCATACAATGAAAATACTTTTATAAATGCAATAAGCTGTGCAATCATTAGCACCTCCGGGTTTAGAAAATTTCCATCACCCCAGTATAATCCCTGTGCCTGTTTGTAATGCATTTTACTTCTGTAATAAAATATACTGTCTTGTTGCTGACGCACAGTATGTGGACAATCATCTCCTCTCAGCTCCCAGGCATCCTACAATAATGCTCCTCTCTCGATGAAACCTTCGCTCTCACCTTCTTGTCAATGCCAGACTCTCTGGAAGTGTCTGTGATTCATTGCTTTACTAGTTCTCCTGTCTTCACAACCTCTTTTACTACTAAAACTGCCTCTGTGAAAGTCTCTGATAACTTCTCAAGGACCAAATAAAAGTCTCATCTGTTCTGCTCTCCAGTATTTGGTTCTATTTGATTCTAACCACAACTTGAAAACATCTCTTCTCTAAATTTTGACATTCTGATACATTTTGAGTTTCTTTTAAAAATCCTAACCACCTCTCGTCTTAACTGGCTTCTTTCTTCTGTCTTCTAGACATAATAATAAACTATCTTCTATCTTCCTTTCCTTTCTATACTTGATCTGACAATTACAATCACACCTACAGCTTCACCATTATAAAGATGGTAAAAAAGAAAGCAAACAAAAAGACTAGAAACACATGCAAATAATAAAATAATGCTTATGTTAGAAAAATAAAATATTGTTTATTCGACTTTTCTCTAATTTCAAAGTACCTATACTATGGTATTACTACTTTTTATACAGAAGACTCCAGATCTTTCTATCTAGCTTCTCTTTTAAGTCTCAGTCACTTTCATTTACTTGTTAGCACTGTATGTTTGAATGTGCCACTGATACCTCACACATGCAGTCCACTCACATCATTCTCCTTCATGTTTGGTTCTTTATTCTGATTTTCCAATTTCTATCTATGCACTATTCTTCATTATCTTAGTATACAACCTGCATCTTTTTGTCCCTTGTTTTTTTTTATACTTTCTCCTCTAATCATACATTAGCTCCTTTTCATTTAAATTGTCAAAATGAAAACATGCTATTCATATATTAGTTCAAACAAGTTAAAAACTAGAAGGTACACAATATTAGAAATATATGAGCATATTCTTTCATAAATAACCAAAGAGATTATTATCTAATGTTCTTTGAAGGATTTTGATTTTTGAAGACTACCTTTAATCAACAAGATAAAAAATAACATATGAACCAATGAATATTAAATGGTATCATATAGATAAATTTGCTAATAGCTTTAAAACTAGTGATTCTTAATCTAGGAACAATTTGGTTCCCAGGGAACGCTTAGAATTGCCTGGCAACATTTTTAATTGTCAACTCTACAGATGGAACTGACATCTAGTGGGCAGATGACACAAATGCTGCTAAACTAATACAACTACATTGCAAAAAAGGTCAATTTCTCAATTTTATTATAGAAAAATAACCCTATCTTTAGATTTTTCCTTCAATCCTCCAACAGCTCATCTGCCTAACCCAACAGCTTTTGAGTTCTTTGCCCTTATAGCTTTTCCCTCTTGCCACTATTATTAGTTATGGTCTTCATCTTTTTTTTGAAAAGTGCAGATTTTTTTTCTTTCTTTCTTTCTTTCTTTTTTTTTTTTTTTTTGTGTGTGTGTGTGTCAGGGGAGTAGTGGGGATTGAACTCAGGGACACTCAACCACTGAGCCACATCCCCAGGCCTATTTTGTATTTTATTTAGAGACAGAGTCTCACTGAGTTGCTCAGCACCTTGCTTTTGCTGAGGCTGACTTTGAATTCTTAATCCTCCTGACTCAGCCTCCAGAGCTGCTGGGACTAAAGGTGTGCACCACCATGCCCCATGAAAATTGCAGGTCATTAATCAGATGATTTTCTAATTATCGGAATGACTTTTGCTTAATAGCAGGCAGAGATCAATGTTAATATTAGAATCTTCATTTTTTAAGGTGCCATAGAGACATGGATGTAGCAGGTGGTTCCAGGATTAAATGACACTCTATCATGTCTGTGATAATTTGTTAATTATTGTAAGTGTGATACAGAAGAGGATAACTAAAATACAGTGAAATGTGAGGCACCAAACTAAAAGGAAAAACTTAATGAGTTATTTAAATTATGGAAGGGTAATAAACAAAAGAGAAAATGATCCATCCTAATTCTACCACTTCTTTGTAAATCTAAAAGGTAGCTATTAAATTCTATCTAGTCACTATGCCTCATTTCCCTAACTTATGAGATATAAACTGATACAGAAAAACATTTCAAGGAAGCATGTTAGTATATTTTTAATATTTAAAAATATGTATTCAATAAGAGAAGGAAGTAAAAATACTGAGAATTGAACAAGAATGGTTTTACCTTTACAGCAATTTTTAGTGAAACATCTCTGATGGTATTCAAAGGAGGATAAAGCCGACCCTCTTCCAAGTGTTTATCTGACACTTGCTGAGATATAACCTATAAGAAGAAAAGGAAAAAAGTAGAACAATGTTTATACTTCATATCATACAATGTGGTAGTTATACAGATAACCTAAGTGCATGGCCACACAGACTGGCCATTTGTAGAAACCAATCACATTATGATCATCTCACTTCATCTACCATTTTATTAGTGGAAGAACTGAACCCAAGAGAGATGTACTAATTATTGGGAATCATAAAAATGAGAATTCAGGTTTTCTCTTAGTCTAATTCCTTTTCACTGTACCATGAAATACTTGACACTTTCCAATTGAAACACTAGGGGAACAGGAGGAAGGAAAAGTTAAGAAATGTGAGTAGTAATGGAATAGGACCCTGGAAGTTCAGGAGAGCAGTATTACATGATGACTCATACTGTTACTCCCCGCTTACACAGCCCCCTGCGGGAGGTAAGGCAAGAGGCTGAGAAAGCTATTTCAGAGTCACATTATCAATAGGATTTCAATTTTACCCAGATTCTGATTACCCAATCACTAACTGGCCTCAGCATCTGCGATTCCCAAACCATTCCCTAGGTCTAAATCAAACAGTGTTGAACTATTTAATGAACCCTACGTTAAGACAGTAAGGTAGGTTCAGCAAAAACAAAATTCACTCTAGCTCTAGGACTTTGGTTAAGTCTCTTCAGGCTGAATATAAATCAGCTTAGACGTGAACCTCTGTTTAACAGAAATGTTGATGTAGAGAGGAAGTAAAAATATTTTCTCATCTGCAATATTTTGAATAATTAAACATTTATTTTTGGTGTCATTTCTTAATACTCTTTATTTTTAAATCATGAAATTATTTCTAAAGTATTGTTTTGTTGCCACCTGCAAATAAGTAAGATGTTGAGCAAGTATAATACTACAAACAAATGTAAAAAACAGTTATGCTGAGTGCATTGGCATGTGCCTATATCCCAGCTACTTGGGACGCTGAGGCATGAGGATTACAAGTTTGAGGCCAGCCTGGTCAATTTAATAAGACCCTGTCTCAAAATTAAAAAAAAAAAAATTAAAAATGGGCTGAAGTTATAATTCACAGGTAAAATATCCTTGGTTTCAATCTCTAGTACCAAAACAACAAATAAGTAAAAATAAAAAGGGCTGGGATTACAGATCACTGGTAGAGCATCCCTAGTTTTAATCCCCCAGAACCATAAAAAAGTTAATATCCTGAGAGATTTGTAATTTAATGAGGTAACAGGGTACTAAAAGAGAGAATATTGAAATGAGCCTAGAGGTGAAATATGAGTGTTAAGAAAGAGCCGTGATAGAGGGCTTCATAGTGGAGGCAGGCTGGAGGCTAGAATCCAATGAAAACTGCAAGTTAGAAAAGCAGGTCAGGGACATTCCAGACGAAGACAATGTCAAATCAAAGGCAGGGATGTATGAGCTAGATCAAGGAACACAAGTGCCCTAAGCTGGGGCAGCAGAGGTTCTGTATAGAGAAATACGGATTGGAGTGTTTTCAATGTCAAATAAGGAATTTGGGTTAAATCCTGTGGGTTACTGGGGACTTCTGACCAAGGGCATTTATACAGAGCAGGGTGGGTGGAGAAACCATATATATTACACAAAACACTATAATCTATAATTACAGTATTGATCATAATTTTATAATAAACTCATCATTTAACTCATAATTTCTTGCCTTTTAACATGGCATTGAATAACTTGGTGACCAGAGTCCCAAACTTTAGGACAGAGAGAAATTAAGAGTTCCACACTCTCAGGAAATCACCAAACATGTGGGGTCTGCCATTTCCCCTAGAGCCTGAGAGGAGGTAGAATCAGCCCTGCCAACCCCACAGCAACAGCTGTCACTTCCCAGGAAGAGAAGATGGTGAGGGTCCAGCAGAGCTGAAGAAGGATCTTCTAAACTCTCAAATATGTGTTCCATGAGAGCCAGATTTGAGCCCTGCCACAGAGGACCTGATGGCCAAAATACAGAAAAGTTAGTAAAAGAGCCTTTCCCATAACTTTTTCCATAACTTCCTTCCTATCTCCAACACATTGGAAGATATAGACCTTGACAAGAAGGGAAGGTGATTTTTTAGAGTCTAGCCACTTTCTCTCAAACCCCTAGCTATAGTTTGATGTGATTTATGTCCCAAAGATTTATGTGCCGGAGGCTTGGTTCTCCATGTTTTGGTGTCGAGGTGGAGGAACGTTTAAGAGATGGAGCCTACTGTGAATTAGGAAACTGGAGGCACTGTCCTTGGAAGGGATGAATGCTAGTCCCTCAGAGTTAATATTTGTGAGAGTAGGTTGTTATAAAGCCAGGCAACCCCATGAGCAGGGGCCCTTTCTGCACCCAGACAGTTCCCTTTCCACTTCTCTGCCAAGGAAGCCATTGGATTTTCAGCCTCTAGAACTGAGCTAAACAAACCTCTTTCCTTTATAAAGTATCCAGCTCAGGTATTTTGTTGCAGCAACACAAATGGATCAATATTTTCCACAAGGTTTTGAAAAAGGCTACTACATGCCTTTTGTACTACAGGGAGAGGAGATAGTAAGTGGATTTTACTGAAATGTCACTAAGGGAAAGAAAAGGGAGATTTGATGGAGAATTATGTAAAACAATGACTGGAGCAAAATAAAACCATCCCCCATTGAATCAGGACTATTTTATAAAACCTTATTATTCCTAGTTTTGCAAAGGATTTATGAAAGACTTAAATCAGGTGGCACCATCATATACATCCATAAGAGTGGAGTCCTAATTAGAATAAAACTTATTCTATGCTTGTACAATTACATCAAAGTGAATTCTGTCATGTATAACTATAAAGAACCAATTAAAAAATGTAAAAAAATAAAAATAAACTAGTTGGCATTTCTTAGATGTTAAAGCAAAAGATTTATGGGTATCTATCTTATTATTTAATTGAATAGGGCAAAATGAGTAGCAAAAGATGTAATGATATGGTGGCTGAAGACCCAGGTCCTTGTGTAAGGCAGACCTATATTTGAACGCTGACTCCACTGATTATCTAAAAACAGTTCCTAATTCACGGGATCAAATGAAGTAAATTCCAGTAAAGAATTTACCACAATGTCTGTCAAAGTTCAGTGCTCAATGAATCTTGGCTATTTAGTTAAACAAACAAACAAAAAAATAGGTAGCCAGAATGGCAAAAGAGAAGTAAAATAGCTTTGGGGTCAGATCTAGCTCTACACTACATTAGCTCATTAGTGTATGACTTGGGAGCAAGTTCTATAACCAATTAACTTTAAAATTTTTCAGCTATTTATGTGACTTTTTTTAAGGCCAGAACCATCTGTATTTGTTATAATAAATTATCTTAAACATTGTAACTTAAAATAATACAAATTGATTCTCTGGATGTCTAAATAAGTCTAAATAAGTCCTATTGGGCTATGATGCTTTAAGACAAATCCATTCCTTGCCTTCTCTATCTTCTAGAGGCTGGCATTTCTTGCTTCAAGGCCCCAAATCTATGTGACATATTTTTATGGTTTAGATGTGGTGTCTGCCAAGAGCTCACGTGTGAGATGAAAGGAAAGCGAGGCACCAGAAGACAGGCGAACGAGAAATTAAAGATGGAGACCAGGCAGAGATACACAAGAGAGCTGACAAATAAAGACTCATCTCTCCATAGAGAGAGGCTTGGGGTTCAGGACTTTTATGGGGCAGGCTCAGGGATTAGAGCCAGCGGGGAGTCATAATGCAGATGGTTAAGGGTGGAGTTGGTCTGAGGGACTGGTGAGCCTTGGGCAGGAAAGTGAAATTTTTTTTAAAATGGGGCTGTCAATTAAGATGGCTATCCTGAAGCTAAGCAAGGACCTTACCTGAGACAATGCAATAATGTTTGGAGGAGAAAAGATTGCACTATATCCTTAACATAATCAACATAATTAATCCCTGGTGGTATTAACTGAGTGGTAACTGGAGGCAGGTGGGGTGTGGTTGGAGAAAGTGGTTCATTAGGTTGTGGGGGCTGTGGAGTTTATATTTGTATCTAGAAAGTGAATTCTCTCTCTCTCTCTCTCTCTCTCTGCTTCCTGATCATCATGTAAACTGTTTCCCTCTGCCACACTCTTCCACCATGCTGTCCTGCCTCACCTTGAGCCCCAAGGAATGGAGCCTGCTGTCTTTGGATTGAGACCTTTGAAATCCTGAGCCCTCAAATAAACTTTTCCTCCTTTAAAATTGTGCTGATTGGGTCTTTCGGTCACAGAAACGAAAAAGCTGACTAAAATGTATATACCGTGAATCTGTCACCACTGCCATATTGCTAGTGCTTGACGTCATTTCTTTTTTTCCTCTAGAATACTTCTCAAATGTCAAAAAGACTGGGGACAGTCAGAAGATGATTGAGTAAAGAAGAATCATAAATGAATTCTTGTTCTCCATGAATGCCTGTCACACAGAGAGGGAGCCAAGAAACTGTGGAAGAGAAATAAGTAGCAAATAGGTAACAAGGGGGAATCTCAGTAAAATATAAGAATTCTGGGAATACTGTGATTTGGACAGGTTTAAATGTGTCCTCTGAAGTCACATATTGGAAACTTGGTCCTTTGTGTGGTGATAATGCTATGCAACCTTATGAGATAGGGCCTGCTGGTCACACTACTGTGAGCATGTCATTCAAAAGGACTGCATGGGAGCCCAGTTTCTTTCTAGTTTCCTATTTTGCAATGTGAGCTCTTTCTCTGGTACACGCTCCATCACCCATGATAGGGCCCTCACCAGATCCTGCACCATGCTGTATGGACTTTCAGCCTCCAAACTATAAGACACATAATCCTTTCTCTTCTTCCCTATCTTCTCCCTTTCCCTAAAGTTAGCTTTAGAAAATCAGGTATTTCATTTCTAGTAACACAATTGAATTCATACAGGGGGTAGGAGGGAGAAGAGAGAACACAAGAACACTTGAGTCTTGTTCTCACCTACTGATTCATTCATTCAAAAACTATTTGCTGCCGTGGATGGCTCTATCTCTCAAAATAATCTTTCTCAATTTCATTCTGACAATGTTATAGCAGCTGGATTTGAAGGTTCCTCCAGATGCTATTGTCCATAGTGATTATCTCAGGCATCCTATGGACAGATATCAGAAAGAGGTCAAACAAGGGTTGGGTAAGGAAAGGTGACCAAGGTTTGTGTCCTAGGTTAGAACACAGAGAGAGAAATCTATTCCCAAGCTGTGCCACAGACTACATAGGGCCAGTACTGCTGACTTAGGGTGCACTGTGTGTTCTCATCATGGTTCAGAAGACTGTCTCCAATGCTAGGAAAGCTAAAAATCTCTTTATAATATGAAAATGTCCATAAATAACCTTTAATATTGGTGCCAACCCAGAGATTTCTAATTTCATGTGATATAAAATTAGTATTTTTGACTATAATTTTAACAGTTATTAAATCTGGGATTGCCAAACCAAAAAATACACCTAGATATTTTATGTTTATTTTATAAATTATAAAATACACTATAGACAAAAAGGACTTTCTTCCTTTTTTGGCCATCTGGCAGTAAGTGGTATTCATTTTTGCTAAGCTATATGACTAGTTCAATTTAATCCAACCCAACAGTATTTATTGTTTCTGCTTTGTGTTCCACATTGTGCTAGATGCTACTAGAGTTCTTAAAGTAGTTTATGGAAGAATTTCTATCTTTAAAGAAAATAATCTATAATTTAGTGATAGAGGCAACACTTAATCTTTTTGAAATATGAAGCTCTCAAGAGCATAACACAACCATGAATAAAATTCAATGTTAGTGTGTTTAATAAGGACAACCATGACAAGAAAGAGCAAGATGAGATAGATTTGTCAGAAAAAGGATTCAAGAATGAAGTTAAACATAAGCAGTATCCTGAATGTGAGACTGGATGGAGAATAATTCTTGGGGCTTTCCAGCAGGAGAGATGAAAGGTAAAGCAGCATGAAGGATGAAAGGTAAAACATACCAAAGTATGTTTATGTAGTGTGCCTGAAGGCTATGGGATGGAAGAGAAGAAAAGAATGTCAGGTTTCTAAACTTTGGTAGTTACCTGGAAAGGAGATGTTACTATTAGAAACATGGATGTTGAGGGTGAGGGAAAGCATTAAATATGGTTTTCAAAATGTTTAAAGGCACAGCTGGGCATGTCTGGGGAATTATCTAGCAGGGCAACTGGAGTTCCGGTAAAAAGGTGGGAATAGAGATACACAGAATAGGCACTATTAGAATACAGACAATGGAAACAAATGATGAGATCTTTGAAAGCACGTGGAAAAAAGTGGGACAAGAAAATGAATGCTAAAAAAAAAAAAAGAGAAATGTGTCAAAATAGATTGGGTAGAGAGAGGTGATGGGAGGGGAGGGGAGGGGATGGGGGATAGGAAGGGCAGCAGAATAACATAGACACTAGTATTGCTGTATGTGTATACGTGGATGTATAACCAATGTGATCCTGCAACCTGTACACGTGGAAAAATGAGAATTCATACCCCATTTGAATAAAGGTATGATATATCAAGATCATTGTATTGTCATGAGCAACTAATAAAAAAAAAGAGAGAGAGACATAACCCATCAATAAATGGACTAGGGAACTGAACAAGACTCTTTACAGAAGAAGAAATACAATTGATCAACAAACATATAAAAAAAGACCATCATATTCAGCAATTAGAGAAATGCAAATCAAAGTTATTTCAATATTTTATTTCACTGCAGTTATAGTGGCAATTATCAAGAATACAAGCAATAATATTGTTCATGTGGATGTGGGAGAAAAGCTACATTCATACATTGCTAGTGGCCACATCAATGTAGAGTAGGTCGACTCACACAGTAACTAAACTATGGAACCAACCTAGGTACCCTTCAACAGATGAATGGATAAATAAAATGTGATATATATATATATATACACACACACACACACATATATATATATATATATATATATGTGTGTGTGTGTGTAATATTACTCAACACTAAAAAGAATAAAATTATGCCACTTGTTGGCAAATGGATGAAATTTGAGAATACCATACTAAGCTAAATAAATCAATGGCAAAGTTAAAAAATAAAAAAGAAAGAAAACAAATGCTAAGGATATGGGAAAGGTCTTAGTTAAAAAGAGGATGAAAAGAGACAAAGAGAAGGGTGGGACTATAGCTCAGGGGTAGCCTGCATGCCTAACATGGGAAAGGCTCTGGGGTGAATCCCTAGAACCAAACAACAGAAGACAAAGAAAACAACAAATGGGATGTGATTGAGGTAGTAGGAGAAAAAGGAATGTGTGTTGAAGCCTGGGAGAAAATGATGTTGTCAGTGGACCATTAGCTATAATAAGAATAGGACTGCTCACATTGCCATTTTTTTTTCTTCAAAAATTTTTGGTAGTGATCATTACTCTTCCTAAATAAGAAATTTTAAAAAATTTCATGATATTTGTCACTAGATGGTGCTAGAGTAATTTAGGAAAGAAAACACAGCTACAGAAAGTGAAGGATCAATTTTTTCTTCTGATGTGCATATTCTAGAAGACAATGATTACATTTTTCTTAATGTAAAAACAACTTTAAAATGCTCTCTTAGTAATTAGACATCTACTTGATACATCAGCTATCATGCTTTTAATGCAGTGAAAAAAAAAGATAAGAACAGATCATAATAACTTCTAGACACTGTTCTCACAGAATCAAGCCAGGCTCTAACCCCTGGAATATGCTCCTTTAGTTCTTTTAAAATCTTTTTCTATATTTTTCAATCCTCTTCACAATGGAAAGAATAATGTGTTTTAAGGATAGATGTATATGAGTATTAATCAAGTTTTATTTGGCTCAGTTCAGCTAGTTATACAGTAGTTTAATTTTAAGACAAGAAATTCACAAGTTTCTTATTCACAAATTGCATCCTGTTTGAATCTGAAACATTGTTAATCATCCACAGTTATCATAAGGTCACAGTTTTAGAAATATATAACCAATTACTGCTTAGACTTAGGGCACAAGGGAAACTGATGGAAATATGAAACTCAAGGCTTATTCTGTGCAATGAGTAATAAAGTTCCTTTGTCTCTGATCTAAGAGCATCATGCCTTGACAGTATCTATGAAACTATGACTAACTTGTTAGCTTGCAAGTAAGGTAAAAGCATAAATCTTTCACGGTTCTTGTCAGAATGAGATTCCCTAGTGGACCTGCACCATAATGTTCTGAGAATCTTTCCTGAAGACCCTGACTACAGCTACTTCTCCTATTATTTTAGTGGTTTGATAAATATTTATTTCCCTATTTAAATTTCATTTTGCTTAAATATTAGCATGATTTGCTTTAACCACTATACTATATCAGACTTTTTAAAAAACCTTCAAAATGACTTTATTCAGAAAATTAATAATGAAATATTTATCACTTAATTTTCATTTGGAAACAATATTTTAATTGTCTCTTTACTTTCATAGAATTTAATGAGAAATGTGTAGATAAAAAGGGGTTCCTTCCACAAAATCAAAATATAATTTATCTAACAGCTGTTGAAGAAGAATATTTTATTAGTGACCCAATATGAACCTGTTACCTACCCACCCCATGCATCTTTGAGAAAGACTTTCTCTAATTCTTTAGACTTTACTACTTCTAGAGAGCAAGCCGAGATGCTAGACAAATAAAATATTAGACAAATGAGGCTGAGCATATTTTATAGCCTTGGCAAACTTAAATAACTTACCTCAGCAGTAGTGAGAAATATCTTATCTGTGATGTGTCTCAGTCCACATGCCACAACCCCAAGAGCAACTCCAGGGAACACATAGGAATTGTTGCCTTGTCCAGGGTATAGGGTCTGTCCATTTGGAAGAGTGACTGGATCAAAAGGACTGCCACTGGCAAAAATTGCACGTCCCTGAAATACAGACACATACCACTAGTTAAAAAGAAGCAGGTTATTTTAAAACAAATAAAACAGAACTGAGAGCCAAAACAGAGAACACTTAGAAAGAAGCCTAACTTTTCATCAACTCACTAGTAAATGTGGGCAAGCTCCTATAATGCTTTTTGAACAGGGGGTTTCTCTATATTACTTTTGTCTCCCAGAGAAAGTCACCCTAAGACTATCACTCTATTCTCTGCATTGGTCCAACTCATAGATCCATCAATCATTTCTACATTTAAGGATTTAAGGACTATTAGGCTTCCAATTACAGACTTTAAAAATAAAAATGACAGAGCCCAGGTGTGGTGGTTCACAACTATAATCCCAGCTACTCAGAAGACAGAGACAAGAGGACTGACCACAAGTTTAAGGACAGCCTTAGCAACTTAGCGAGACTCTTAAAAAAAAAAAAATTAAAAGGGCTGGGGATGTAACTCAGTGGTTGAGCATCCCAATGTTCAATCTCTAGTATCAAAATAAATAAAGAATAAAGAAAGAGAGGGATGGAGGAAAAGAAGGAAGGAGGAAGGGAGGAAGGGTACACAGGTAGGTTATATTAGAGTATTAGAGAACTGGAAATAACATTTAGCTTAGACCTTAATTTTCAACCTCAAAATGGCTTTCAATGTTTTATGTCTAACAATGTAGAGCATTAGATAACATCATAAGAAAAAGCTAGGCCATTTATTTCTGACATCTAAATTTTAAAACACAACTATATAAATTTGGCTAATTTTACCCATGTGTATCACTGATGAGTCTCTAAATTCTTGAGGCCTATTGAGATATACTAAGACAAAATAATTAATTAAACACTCCTTAATTATGTGTCTTTTATGTGCAAAGCACTATGCCAAATTTGCAAGTGCTTACAGAATTGTTGGATTTTTTTACCCTACTCCTTTAAGGATTTAAGGACTATTAGGGAAAGTGAAACAATTCCGCAATCTATAGATGAAATATAAAATAAAATTAGTGAGGATACTGATGCCAACCTAAATAAGAGAAGAAAGTAATGGAGTGGCTCCTTGCCAAAAAAAAAAATCATTAATTCTAGTAACAAGCATTTAAAGATCTTTAACATTATTAAAGAAATCAAGACATCAAGTTCTGATTTTTTCAGAGTGGTATGCCTTTGTGTTGTGTTTTCCCTCTCTGCTTCAATTTGGATTTTATATCTCAAGTAAGTTTTAAATAGATATGACCCAATCTCTATTTTGTTGTAATGATATTTTCAGATCTTTGAAGAAGACTTTTGCCAACATTATCAGTCAAATATAAATTAGTGAAAACACAGTATAAAATATTATCATTTTTTCTGAAGCAGTAAAATATTAAAGCATTGAGGACTTCTATCCCAATCTGGCTGGATATCAAGATCGTCACCCAAAGGCTCCACCCATAGCATCAAAACCCAAACCCTGAATTTTGCAAAACAAAAATCAGACTGTAGTTTTATACTATATGCTTAGATATTTGGGAATAGCTAGTTAAGAGCTGTTTTAATAACCATCTAAAACCAAGATTTTTTTAATTCAACTTTTATGTTTAAATCTTAGATACTTTCAAATCACTTGAAGAAAATTATCACTAAAATATTACAAAGTTTATTTTGCTGAAGAGGAGGAGTAATACAAACAAAACTCTAGAAAAGGATAAGAGTTCTCATTCCTCTGATCTGTTCACTTTTCTTTCAAATTATTTTCAATAATTTTTGAAGGTTATATGGTATGCACCTTAGATATCCTAGGCTTCCCTATAATTTGTCAGTTTGACTTTTAAGATTTCAGTATACTTTTACTTTACCTTGGTTATTTTATAACACTGCTCTGCAGAACATTCTGCTTTGCTGGTTGGATTACTCAAAGCAAAAATAATAGGCCGTTCATTGAAGGCAGCCATATCCTTGAGAATTTGTTCTGAGAATGCACCACCAATTGCTGCAACTCCTAATGAAGAAATGAGAATCCAATCAGTGGTTAATTCATCCAAGAAGACCATGCCAAAAACTATGAAATATGTTAGGTCACTTTCTAATAGAACCTAAACAAAATATAGAATACCTGCATTAAGGTATAGTGCTAAAAACAGATGCTTGTTAATGCCAACAATCTTTTGGGTTACAAATCAACAATACCTTTAAAATATACAACTGTAAGCCTAATACACTGAAACAACCATGTCAATGTTTATAGCATCACAATTCACATCAGCTGAGCTAAGCACCAACCTAGGTGCCCCTCAATAGATGAATAGATAAAGAAAATGTGGTATATATACACAATGGTGTATTACTCAGCTATAGATAAGAATGACTTTATGGCATTTGCTGATTAATGGATGGAACTGGAGAATATCATGTTAAGTGAAATAAGCCAATCCCAAAAGACCAAAGGTTGAACTTTTTCCCTGACATGTGGAAGTTAACTCAGAATAAGTGGGAGGGGAGATTAAAGAAGAAAAAAGAATAGAAGATCAGAGGAGTAAACAAAGGGTAATGAAAGGAAAGGGATGGGATAGGGAAAATCAGTGAAGTGAATCTCACCTAACTTCCTATATTCATATATGAATATACCACAGTGAATCTCACTATCATGTACATCCATAAGACATTAATTTTTAAAAAAAGTAAGTAAATAGTAGAAAGACCAACAGAGTAAAGGGAGAGAACTGGGGTGAGAGTGGGGGAGAGGAAGGGAAACTACTAAGGACTGAATTAGAACAAATTATATTCCATGCTTTTATAATTATGACATAGATTATTCTATTTTCATGTATAATTTAAAATATTAATAAAATACATAAATAAATAAATAAATAAATAGCTCAAAAATAGAGCCTGGTATGGTGGGCTATGCCAGCGACTTGGGAGGCTGAGCAGGATGTCAGCAAGCCTGAGGCCAGTTTGGGCAACTTAAAGAGACTTAGTCTCAAAATAAAAAACAAAATGGGCTGAGGATGCAGTTCAGTGCTAGAGCACCCCCAGGTTCAATCTCCAATACCACTACCACACACACATACAAAAATATCCTACAGATATATAACATTTGACCCATAATGTTAAAAGTAGGTGGTAGGGCTCACTGCATCTTGAGTGACAAAAGATCACTCCACCTCAACTGACCAAAAAATCCCACCCATAAACTGGCCTTCTTCACAGCCAGATACTATCTTCTTAAACTAGAAGAAGCAGTATTGACAGCTTAAGGGACTTTCCAACTTCAAAATACGTGCGGAATATTAAGGAACTGTCATTTAGGGGACTCTGATTCACTGTAACTTACTTTACAGCTTTAAGCCCCTGTAAGTTTCACTTAGATATTCATAAACCTTCCAACATGGCAGAACTAGCAAGGGGAATAAAGTCATAGTACTAAAACTCAAGTTTTAAAACCACCTCAAATACATAATACTTGAGGAGGGAGGTTCCCAAACCAGATATAAAAATACCACATGGGAAACCCTAGGCTATTTCCTTTCTTAAAGATGGGCCACTCCCAAGATATAGGTCTGTATTCACCTCACAGATTGTTTTTGTGCTCTATATATGTAATATGAATTGTAATGCATTCTGCTGTCATATAGATAGATTGATCGATCGATAGATAGATCCAATAAAATATTTTCATATTATAAAAAAGATTCCCATATTATCTTTTTAATATCTATACAATCTGAATTAGAGTCTTTTCCATCCAAGCATGATAATTTTTGTTTTCTTTTTTAAACTTTTCTCCTTTTTATTGGTGCATTGAAATTATACATAACAGTGGAATTTGTTGCAATATATTCATACATGCACACAATAAAACAGTATAATTAGAAAAAAAAAAAAGATGGCCCACTTCATAGCATTACTTCCTTTCTGCTGAATAATCCTTTTATGCTTTTCTAACTGTGTCTCTCAACTGACATCTTTCCAAGGACCCAGGAACCCTCCCTAAGGTAACAATACTCATTGAGTTAGTGGCCTTTCACTTCAAATTTTGATTATAGACATTTGAATCAGGAAATTAACTATGTCCAATATATGTAGTCTCTCTATATGCAATCCTGAGTATATTTCAGTTCATCAGGTGATAAAGCGATTATGTTTTGCACACCAATGTTAACATCATCTCATTCAATTGCAAAATTCAAGTATTGCTCATTGAAAGATTTTTAACAGAAGAATAAAATCATCAGTATAATGGAAATGAAACACAGGAAGATTACTGAAAGAATTTTTTGGTCACTATTTAGGATGTGTTCTTTTTCTTTTTAGTTGATCATGGCAGTAGAATGTATTTTGGCAGAATATACATACATAGAGTATACCTTGTCATATTTAGGATCCTATTCTTATGGTTGTACATGATGTGGAGTTATCCTAGTCATATATACAAATAAAAGCTAGCGAAGTTATGACCAATGAATTCTACTGTCTTTTCTCTTCATTTCCCTTTGTTTAGTCCAATGGATTTCTATTATTTCCCTCCCAAATGTACCCTGCTTTGGATTAGCATCCACAAATCAGAAAGAACATTTAGCCTTTGTTTTTTGGGATTGACTTATTTCACTTGGCATGATATTCTCTAGTTCCATCCATTTACTAGCAAATGTCAAAATTTCATTCTTATTTATGGATGAATAATATTCCATTGTGTATATATACATGTTTTCTCTATCCATTCTTCCTTTGAAGGACATCTAGGTTGTTCCCATAGCTTGGCTATTGGGTGTTGAGCTGCTATAAACATGGATGTGGCTGCATCCCTATAGGATGCCAATTTTAAGTCCTTTGGGTATAGACCAAGGAGTGGGATAACTGGGTCAAATGGTGGTTCCATTCCAAGTTTTCCATAGTGGTTACACCAATTTGCAGTCCCACCAACAATGTATGAGACAGTACCTTTCTCCCCACATTCTCACCAACATTTATTGTTACTTGTATTCTTTATAATGGCCATTCTGACTGTAGTGAGATGGAATCTTAGTGTATTTTTAATTTGCATTTCTCTAATTTCTAGAGATGTTGAACATTTTTTCATATTTTTTATTACCATGGAAAGAACATTTTTGAATCAATATTAAAAGCTTAGTAAACTTCCTATCATGGAATAGTAGCTTTAATTGTAATTATCAACAGTGTTTTCAATATTGTCAACTATTTCACAAGAATTTCTAGGAATGGAGTATGATACAAAGAATAACATACACACACAAAATAAGGAATTAAAATTCACAACTTGGAGATTTTTTAAACACATAAAATTTGACCATAGTGAACATCCTACTGTGTACATACACTGTATAAGTACTGTATACTATGAGAAACATAAAGATGTGATCCTTGACTTCCTAACCTCAGCACTAGCAACATTTTGGGCTGAATAATTGCTGGTTGCAGGGGCTGTCCCGTATACTGTAGGATTATTTAGTGGTATCCCTGACCTCTATCCACCATGTCTCAGTAGTCCCATTTTCCTCCTTGAAATCCCCTTCCCAGCTTTGACAACTAAAAACAAATATCTCCAGACTTGCCAAATGTTCCCTGGGCAACAAAATCCTCCCATTTGAGAAGGAACAGCTCTCTGAAGTAATTAAACCTGAAAAAGTGCCAAATATGCCAGGAATTAGCAGGCTAACAGAGTCTGCAAAGGAGCCATGTACTTCAGCTAGGGTAAGCAATACTAGGAAGACAGAACTGAACTTACAGATCTAGGTATCTATGAGGTACTGAGGCTTAAGTGAATATAATTTTGTTTTTGAATTTCAAGGTTAGAATACCCAAAAAAGCTAAATCATGGATGAATAATTGGTAGAAAGAAAACCAATCAGGTTAAAATGAGGCTATCAGAGGTAAAGAGGAGAAAAAGTTTACCTATGAGGGCACTTGGTTTTATTTTCTGAACAATGGCTTCCAGGTTCTTCATTTCTTCATGTTCATGAGCAAACTTTTCTTTCTCTTGTGTTAAGGAAGCACGACCCTAAGTAAAGCAAATGAGAAGAAATGAATCTGCCAAACATGTGAGTCACAGAAATTTCATATTTACTCATATTTTCAAATTTACTCATATTTATGTTTAACGTTTAAACATATTTTAATCCATAGTAAAAAAAAAACTACAGTTATGGAAATTTTACTTTCTTTATTTAAGCAATTCTTTTTTCTCAACAAAATTCCAGTTTACTATAAGTTACTATAATCTTTTTGTTCAAGTTTGCATCATTGCCCTTAATCTTTCATACACTTGAAAACAGATATTTATAACAACCTCCTCTCCTTTCCTGACTGAGGAACCTATTGCTCTTGGTCTGCTCCCAAGGGCCTACCTTTCTTCCCTAAAATCAACAAGGTGACTCCATATTGAACCCTCTAATGATATGTCATCCTTTAAATACCACAAAACTGAAAACTATAGTACATCAATGGAACAACCAATATTGAACATGGTCAAGGATCTTGCTTTTAATGTTCTATTAACATATTCCAGTATGTTTTCTTTTAAGAAAATAGCAAAATATTATAGCCAATCTTCACCTTTTGTTTTATTATAAATAGAAAGGGGCTAGGGATGTAACTCAGTGACAGTGCACTTGCCTAGCATGAGTATGGCCCTGTGTTCCATCCCCAGTACCACAAAATTAAAACATAAAGGAAGAAACCTAGGATTGGGAGAAAAAAAAACTGTAAGAATTCTGGATTATTCCTATTGTGTAATAGAAATAGGAAATAATAAATGTAGCTTTAGAGGAAAATATTCCAGCCATTTTTTTTAATTAAAAAAATGCTTGGACTTACCAAAACAATAAACAATCCATGCTGAAAAGAGCATATCCCAGTACAAAACAGAAGAATTAGTAGGTCACAGTGAAGTCTTGCTGAAAGCAGCTGAATAGGTATTCCCAGTCTGAGATAATAGTTCTGGACCATTCAATTACTGACAAACAACATGACAATGAAAGCATATCCAAATTGCTTCTGGTATATAGGTTTATATAAATTTGTCAATGATCTCCATAAAAATGCAAATCTATTCGTTTTCCTCAGATTACCAAACCAAGAAGCAAATATCCACATGAGAAAATAAAACCAGCATACAAGTCTTAAAGATGATTTTGTTAGCATCAATAAAAATCAAGCTGGCATAATATAGGTTGCTGCTAAAAGTAGCATGTAAGTTTAAGAGTGGAGTCTATTTATAATGAATATAAACCTAAAATTCAATAATGGAAATTAAACTAAAAGATGTTGAAAAATCTGAAAGTGACAAATATAATCCGCACTCTTTTTTTTCCTTAGGTTTTCTTTTATACATTTTTTTTTTAGTTGTCAATGGACCTTTATTTTATATATTCATATGTGGTGCTGAGAATTGAACCCAGTGCCTCACACATGCTAGGCAAGTGCTCTACCACTGATCTAGCACCCCAGGCCCTAATCCCTACTTTCTTAATGAAATGATTCAAAATATTTTCCTCAGTGCACTTAGATAATCTAAGACAACAAATTTTTAAATTTTTAAATGTATTTTACAGTGTTGTCTTCATCACTGTTGGTTATAGTCAATAAGTCAATAGTTTATGATAAATATTGCTAGCTAGGGAAATAAATAACAAGTAGCAGAATACATTCTAATAATTAACAGCAAAATATTCATGCTATTTTTTGGTAAGTTTTTATGCTATTCAGTAAAATAAAGAAATACTCCACAATTAAGAAATGCTATCAACAAATGGAGATAAAATATGGGACCAAGACTCAGGAGGCTCTTACACTCATCATATGATTGTGGGCAAGTCCTTAGGTACTTCCCTGGATCTTGGTTTCTCTATCTATAAAATTGTTTGTATTGGTGATGATAACAATGCAAATGAAACAGATTTGTGCTTTCCAGAGCTATATGGGCACCAGCCACCTAGAAAAGAGATTCCTGAACCCAGCTTCCAGGGCTAATTCAATTCTAATTAAATTCCATGTCACTAATATGCCATTATGTAAAAACGTGAGTGTGTAACTGATGTGATTCTGCAATTTGTATTTGGGGTAAAAATGGGAGTTCATAACCCAATTGAGTCAAATGTATGAAAGATGATATATCATGAGCTTTGTAATGTTTTGAACAACCAATAAAAAAAAGAAGAAAAAGAAAAAAATAAATAAATAAATTCCATGGTGAGATCCTGGATTCCATGTGTTTGCTTTATTAAAGCTTCCCAAGTGATTAGAATTGATTAGGCAGTTTTGAGAATCACTGTACTTAATGATGTCCCTACCAGATACAATTTTTTAAGTTATATGTTTTCAAAAAAGTATATAATGGTCCATTCTAAAGAAGAAACAGAATAATATACATTGGCAGTTACAGATTTTTAGTAAGTTTTTTGAATTTTCTTTTTGACTGATGACTAAGATATAATTAAAAATATGGAATATAGTTTAAGCCCTCTAAATTACCTATGATGGGAAACAAATCATAAAGACAGATATTATATAAAAAGAGGGGTTGGGGATGTGGCTCAAGTGGTAGTGCACTCGCCTGGCATGTGTGAGGCACTGGGTTCGATCCTCAGCACCATACAAAAATAAAATGAAGATATTGTGTCCACCTAAAAAAACTAAAAAAGTAAATATTAAAAAAATTATCAAAAACATCTTGCTTTATTAATCATAGTAATCACTGGTGGCTCCTGGCACCAGACATTCCATCTAATATGAAACCTAAATATCCCACAGCCTCACCTCCAAAAGAAGGTCAGAAATCATTAAATGGTCATACTAACATTACTAACATTACTAAAGGGCTCCACTTAACAAAACCAGAAGAATCAAAAGAAAAAAATAAACATCTCCAAAGTATTCTCTATACCATTTTTAAGTTCAGTTGAATGATTATAGAAACTATTTGGTTTAGTTTCTAAACCAAACATAGTAGGGATGACTAGTAATGTCTTTGTGACATCATTTCTTGAATCTTTCTTCCTTCCTTATTTTGTGCTGTTTCTTAGTAGAAAGTGGAAGATACAACAAGATTGAATCTCTGTGTTTGTCATCCTTTCACTTCTGTAACCAAAATACCTAACAAAAAACAACTCAGAGGAGGAAAAGTTTATTTTGGCTTACAGTTTCAGAGGTTTAGTCCTTGGTGGGCAAACTCCACTGCTCTGGGCCCAAGGTTAGAAAGTATATCACAAGGGAAAGGCATGGTAGAGGGATGCTGCTTACCTCATGGTGGCCAAGAAGCAGAGAAAGCAAGAGAAAGGGGCTGCAGATAAGATGAACCCTTTTAGGGCAGCTCCCAGTGACCAACTCCTCCAGCCATGTTCCACCTGCCTATAGTTACCACTCAGTCCATTCAAACTAGAATGGATTGATTAGGTTATAGCTTTCACAATCCAATCATTTCACCTTCAAACATTGTTGTATTAATACAGGACATTTGAGGGGATACCTCATATTCACATTAGAACAACAAAAACACCTATGTTGTGGTGGGGCCAGAAGGGAGGATTGGTGGCAAAGAGAGTCAAGATTTGGGGTTATCATTCCAGGACCCAGGATAACAGGATAGGAATAAAAAAAAATAGTTAAAGATCACCACTATAAACATGTACTCCTTCCTACACATAGACACTGAAGAATTGTTCCACAGGTGCCTACTTTGTTGCCTACTTGCCCCGTTTTACTGGCCTGTTTTTATTGTCATGTCTTTGGCTTATCAGAGCTGAATGTGGCCTCTTTTTGGATCTATAGTCAGGGTCTTCTCAGTTAGTATGCAACAGTTGCAATGTAGGTATGAAAGTTTGCTTAAGAGTGATTTTTTTTGAGGGGGAACTACAGGGAATTGAATATTAAGCCACATCCCCAGACCTTTTTTTATATTTTATTTAGAGACAGGATCTCACTAAGTTGCTTAGGGCCTCACTAAATTGCTGAGGCTTACTTTGAACTCTCCATCCTCCTGCGTCAACCTCCCAAGCCACTGGGATTACAGGTGTGCACCACCAGAGTGATGTTTTATCATCTCAAGACAGATAAAAATGAATGATGTGATGAAAGTAAAACAAGGAAGGAATAGAAGGTAGTGAATTCCATCAATATTTAATTCTGTTTGTTAAATATCAATATTCATAGTCTTCTGGCTAAAAGACTCATGCAGATCATTTGCGGCCTCTGTTCTTTTCAATCCCTATGCATATACTGATCATATTCTAAACAAAATGGATAAGAGAGAGAGAATAATCAAGCCAGATACTTTTCACCAAACTACAAAATCTCCTAATAGTTAGATTTTGTTTTTTTTTAACCACAAGGTATGCAATGCATCAAATCCTGAAAAAGCAATAGGGGAAAGAAAAACTGTCTGTACAGTCTAGAGTTTCAAGCCCTAAACATGTATGTTATACTCTCAGGAGGAAAATAACTAACCATATTGTCAAAACTACCTTTATATCATATAATATACCTTTATTCACTATTCTTTTCTATAGGAGTTAAACATTCAACTATTAATAAAAATACACAATAAAGTAAAATTATTTAAAACATTACAAAATAAAACCAAAATCAAAACAAATTCTGAACCACTCTATAGTCTTGTTGTGGGTTAGATGAAGCTTCTCATCAGGGTATCTGTTAATATTCTACTTTCTGTTTTTAGTGTTCTGTTATAACATTAACTAGGTTTATTAGCAAATGCCAAAATATATTTATTTAAGAAACAGGTTATGCCTAGATTGGTTTGTTTTGTGACTTCCTGTCTTTCCTGAAAATGCTCCAAAGTCATCATTGTGAAATACAAACACCAGTCCTGCTGGCAATGCTTCTTTTCAGCCTCACTTTATTGTTTTTATTCTCACTCTTTCATTTGGGAAGATTTTTGTTTTTTAAACTAAGTACCAGTTTGTTTATATTAAAATGTATTCCTATTAGTTGGATAAATTGATATATCAATTATTTCTTGCTATAAAATCCAAAATAAGATATTTGGGTATTATCAGTGGCCAAAAGATTGATTTCAACCAACCGAATTAATATTGATGAATTAAATACTTAAAACACTGATATTCTATAACATAAAAACACCTTCTGTTGCACATATGGTTATGAGGTGAATGACAGGAAATGCTAGAGCTGTGATGTTGAAAGAGAAAACAGAATATTAGAATGTTAGAATAAATGGGGCTGGGGTTGTGGCTGAGTGGTAGAGCGCTCACCTCACAATTGCGAGGCCCTGGATTCGATCCTCAGTGCGACATAAAAATAAATTTAAAAATATAAACTGTATTTTAAAAAAGAGTAATAATTATATAATTTAATGATGACAAAACTCCAAGAATGAGTGGACATTTTAGTTTGGGATTTTATCTCTCTAAAATGTGAAGGAGCTTCACCAAGAAAAACTTCATTTAAATTTTTGTGATTTTTAAATGTAACTACCAGGTAATAAAATTATTATTATTGGCTTTCAGGATATGTATAACTGCTAAGGATGAAAGATAACAAAAACAAAAGTATTATGCAAATATGAAAGCAAGATTATGCTGATTTTCAAGTTATTCCAAGATTTATTAATTCCACCACAAAGAACAATACAAGAATTTGGACTTTAAAAACATGAAAACATTAACTAAAGCTTATGTCTTTTTATATTAAGTAGAACATAAACTTTAAAATATAAAACAAACTTCTAAAATTTAACTTTATCTTGGCAAGCAGAATATATGTTCTTTATTTTGGCTAGTAAATACATGAAGTAAAAGTGACTGATTAGGTCTAGCCAACAACTTCAATTATTCTAATTATTGTAACCCATGGAATCTGGAGTCTTAGACCAGTAAATGTATGTTAAAATTATTTGAGATAAAATATGTATATTTTTATGCAAATTTCACATTAAAATTTTATTAGGAACCACAGAAGAAAAGCAGTCACAGACTTCTGCATTTGGATTTTTTATAGCCCTAAGGACAACACAATTTATATATTCCATATCCTCCATGACTCTATTTACACACTGATGATCCCCAATCCACATCTCTAATCCAGATCCTCGCCCTGAAGTTCAGTACTAGATCTCCAATTGCCAAAGAGACATTTCCATTTTAAGTCTCCAGAGGCACCTTAAACTTGCTTTGTGTAAAGCTGATCTCATTATTTTATTTTTCCCTTGAAAGGGTCTGTTCTTTATTCCTTTTTTTTTTTTACGTTAATGGTGGCTTCATTTACCTAGATAGTTAAGGAGTCCAGCTAGATTTCTTCCTCTACCCTATTCCTCCTCCTGTATTTATTCAATTACTAAGTATGCCAGTCTTATTTCCTAAACATCAACTTAATCAAGCTTCTTTTGCTCAACTCCATGGTAAAGTCTCAATTAATTTTGATATGGATTATTGCAACAGCTTTGTAAGTAGTTTCCTCTTTGCAGTTTTTTCCTCTTTTCAAACTATCTTTCACAATGTCATCAGAATGACTGAGGAGGCAAACCCTGTGCACACATTTCTTTTATGGCTCATCTTCAGGATAAAAAAGGTCTTAAAGGTCTTAAGTCACTTGCCATTTGCTTCCTTTCCAACCTGTCCTTCAATGTCTCTTACATCATACATCATGTTTTTTTTTTTTTTAAAGAGAGAGAGAGAGAGAATTTTTCAATATTTATCCCTTAATTTTTTTTCGGCGGACACAACATCTTTGTTTGTATGTGGTGCTGAGGATCGAACCCGGGCCGCATGCATGCCAGGTGAGCGCGCCACCGCTTGAGCCACATCCCCAGCCCTACATCATGGTTTTTAACACTTGGAAGTCCATTCACTCTTCAATTAATTTATTTGACAAATTATTAATTACCAGATATGTAGTAGACACTGTGTCAGAATTTATAGATATTTAAAAAATGAAAGATATTATTATTAGCTTCATTCAAGATCTCTCAGTCACCATACATCCCTTGTTTCAGTTTCAAACATATGAAGTTTATGAACATAGGACAAAGAACAAACTCTTCTTTTTCAAGTCAGCATTAAGAAAACACCTTATTTCCAGATCTTCCTCAGTACCTCCACACTTCTCTTTAGTGTGATTAGGAGCATCATCCCCTGTGCACCCTGGTACCATTTCTGTAATAATGCTTTCAGACAGTACTGTAACTTGTGGATTGGGTTTTTCCCATTAGGTTGTGAGTTTCCTGAGATAAGAGCCTTATTGTATCCTCAGAGGCTGGAACAATGCCTGAACTGTAGAAAATTTCATTCAGTAGATATTTACATTTCATGACCACAACATATATAGTGATCACAGTGTACAAATTTTTGTTGTTATGTGCATTCTTCAAAGGAATAGCAATTTTTAAACACAAGTTTAAAAATTGGAAAAAACAAAAACAAAAGCTAAAACCAAAGTCTATATAAGCATACTTATTTGCTATAAAATTATTCACATTATTTTTCTTCCTTTAAGGCAAAATTTGTTAATGTAGATTAATTATTAAAAACATATTTTTATAGCTTTAAAGGAGAACAGTTACTAAGAATTTAGACTATACAGAAAGGAACTAAAAACAATTTAAATTTTAGGGCTGGAGATACAGCTCAATGATAGAGCACTTGTCTGGCATGCACGAGATTCTGGGTCCAATCCCCAGCACTATACACATACAAAAATAATTATAATAATGTATGATACATTCTCTTCTATAGCTCTTAGACATAACTACACTTTTAAATCAGAAGTCATATATTTTGTTTTTTTCATCTAACAGTATATTATGAATCTTTTAATAGGTCATTTATTTATCTTTGAAACAATTTTAAACACATATATATTTCACCCATGTAGCTATTTCATAATTATACTATATTTAGGTAAGTGTAACATATTACAACCATAATTAGTGTGGCAAAACATCACTATTATAAATAATGCTGGGATAACATCATCATATATAAAATATCATATACATTTCTATCTCTACAGGATCCATTCTTAGAATGGAAACAAATGGCCAAGAAGCATACATCTTTAAAGGTTCTAGATACACATTAAACAGCTTTCCAGAAAGTTTCAACACATTTCCATTTATATCTATATTAAATTACACTGCTTATCACTCGTTAATCCTTAAAATTTACATTCATATAAAAAGGGCATGTATATATATTTTTTAGAAGAGTGATTGAAATGTACATGTAATAACAATGCCTCATTTCCATATGGCCACATGGTCACATACCCAGTCTTAGCTACTTCTCACAATAACCCTATGAACTAGGTACTACTGTCTCTACTAAAGTTGGAGAAACTGAGGTACAGGTAAGTTAACTTTCAAACAGCCTAACTATTTTTAAAGTTCTCTCAGGAATTCCCTTCCAAGCCGTCAGAAAAGGGGGCTGAGAGAAAGCAGCAGGTGAAGTGCAGTTATTTCATTTTTTCCCTCCTTCCTTTCTAGCTAGTGTGCAAGCTGACCAACAGCTTTTAACAAACGGTGCTATATTAGGAGTTTCATCTGTATCAGTATCAAACTGCCTCATTTGGAAACTCCAAGTAATTCAAATGGACTGACAATCCATTCGGTTGTAATGAGTCTACATATTGTTGTTCCTAAGTCAAAGTTTTCTTCATTCAGAAGAGTATCAATATGACCATTCAGGTCAAAAGGCTAAACTTATTACACAGTGTAAAGTGGGGTGATGGAAATGGAAGTAGTCTTTGAGATGGTTATCCAGAATGGCATATTGATTTTTATGGTCAAAAAAAATAAATAAATAAATTCTTACCTTAACTATCAATCCTTTTGAGTCAACCAACCATATTTTTTTGATGGCTTTCTCTTTTGGTAAACCTTCTTTCTCCATGGCCATAACAATCAAGTGTGCAATTCCTAAGGCAGCCTGAAAAAGAGGTTATGAAAATAAAAATTTCAGAAGTTGTTTCATGTGATATATTATCAAGCGTTGACGGTTCACCTGATTTTGTCTTTGTTAATAAGGAAGTATAAAATGGCTCTGAGCAAAGTATTTTTGTCACATTGGGTTGAACCAAATAACAATTATTAACTTTGACTACAATAGCACCACTATTATATGGTTTGCTATTTAGCCACACATAAACAAACCAGTGATATCCTTGATTGTCAGTATTTTTAATCCTATTAATATAATCAAGATTTGTTCCAATGGGAAAACACTGAATTTAATGAGCTGGTGAAACTTGCTCATTGGACTGTACTGTTTATTGTCAGGCTCAAGCTCTTTTAATTAAATTTGAAGAAGGAAGACTAGTCATTGGAATGGGAACTTGACCATTAGGTAAAGGAATGAAACAGACAAAAAATATGTGTTCCCCAGTGTTTATTTACTCTATTTGGACAAAGTAAGTACTGTCAAATTCCCAGTGAGATTAAAGAAATCAACTCCCTTGGTATTTGGTAAATTTTTTGAAATCTATGAAATCTCAATATCTTGTCAGAAACAAACAGGTTTTGAACACACAACTTCTTGACTGCTGATTATCAAGATCTGATCTGTGCCATTCATCAAAAACCTTTGCAAATTCAAAGAAGTTTACCAAAATTAAACACAGTATGTCAGAATCCACAAAACAAAGAATTCAAATGTTAAAGCTATTATTTAGGCTTGATTTTTATTTCAATTTGAAAGTGAATTTGTGATTTACATTCTGAATACTTATGTCTTGGAATTTACGTTCTAGTTCATTTATTTTGTTTGAAGCAAAATGAACAAGAAAAATGAAAAACAATATAATGTACCTAAATTTCCACAGAGTGATATAGTGTTCTGTTTATTTATAATTACATTAAACTTAAAAATTTAGTTTCTTAAATGTGTATGTATATGAATATATATACATACACACATATGCACAAAGTATTTCCCCATTTATTAATTCTACAGAGACTATAACTAGAGATATTTTTGACAGTTTTCCCACAAGAAAACTAACATTTTAATTTCCATTTGGTGGTTGAATTATTATTACTGGAGTCTAATTTTATATCAAATGATTAAATTATTCACAATGATAACAGGAAACAATATAATTTGGTCTTGCTACAATCTCCTTCCAACATTATTTTTTTCGTAAAAACATATATAGTTACATATGTGCACATTTAATTTTGAGTTAAGACAACTTTTGAATGTGACACTGGAGGATACTAAAAATCAGCATCAGATATTCCAGCTTGAATACTTAAAGACATAATTATACATGGGAAGCTTATTTTTCCTCCATGACACCCTAAATATGCACAATGAAAACCTATGATGACATTTGATAATCTTGCAAACTTAAAACTTTGGAAAGTATCTTCATACCTCTATACTAAAGTCTCCTATGAAAAATTAACATGCCACAATACTTAATTTGAGAAACTTCAATAAAGCCAATAGTTGTAATATGCTAAAAACAATGAAACAATATTTTGAAACTTAAATTAATGGGTAGTTAACACTAATTATACATTCATTAGTTTAGGAGAACATGACTATTATGCAAGGCAGGTACCTCTCCAGCTCCTTGGAATAGTATTGTTTGATCGGATAGTTTGTTCTTGGTTATTCGAAGAGCTGCAAGGAGACCTGCAACTGCAACAGATGCTGTTCCTGAAATAAGTAATAAATATCCTTGAGTAATCTTCATGTAGATCCTGCCAAACTCTAAGGCTTTATTCACATCTTGAAATCCTCACACAACAGTTTAGCTGGTAGAAAGAGAACCTGAGATTCCTTGCTTGCATATGAAGTGAAATTCTCAGGCTACTAACAAATATTTTAAGATAGTAGCTAACTACTATCCTTGAAAACTTTCCCAAAAATTGTGACTTATTTTGATAATGCAATGAATAAGAGCACAGGTTCTAATTTGGATTCCAGCTCACCCTGCTTACTAGTTGAAAGGATTTAGAGAAAGAACTTTGTATGTCAGTACCCTTTTCTGTAAAAAAGAGTTTTACTATATGAGACAAGAAAAACAGTAAGTGCTATTAGATTCTTCCACCTAAATTACTATTGAGGTTTTGAAATCTATTACTCATCTTTGTACAAAGGAGGCACATAATAAATGCTTGTTTATAATTAAGATGCTGACATAAAAATGTTTTTGATATATTTCGAATTTAATGTTTTAGTTTTTCAATTTGAAAAGGTAACAGTCGCAATTAAAATGATGTTATGGCATTCTTTAATTGGCTTTCTACCTAGATAATCATTGCTAAATCCCACATGTGCTATTATATAAAATTAATGTAAAGTTTACTTGGGATAAAAATTGCATTTTTCTCACCACACCTCACAGGTATAGAAACTACACCAGTTCTAATTATATTACTTCACCATATAAGCTTTCACAGATCACAGAGCATTTCTCTTGCTTTGAACATAGTGATAAAGTTCAGCATCTTTATGGCTTATTCCTGGAATAAAACCCTGCAGTTTTTTGCATTACCTTCCAGCTATATCTACATTTTACCCCTCAAGTACCATTCTACCTGTTTCCTAGATCATTTGACTGAATAGTAAAGCCTAGTTAAACTTCAAATGCCCTTATTTAGATAAAATCTAGATCAGAATAGGTTTGATGAATGACACAATGATAGAGTATTATATATGCCAAATACCAAAGATATTCAACATTTCACCACCAGCTTATTTATTCTTTTCCATTTTTGATTTGTTTCCTTCTTGGATAACTAGGTAGTAATAAATAACTATCACAATAAATAATAATTATTGAAGGCCTACATGTTTCTTTTTTTAAAAAAAAATCTTTTTAGATGTAGATGGACATAATACCTTTATTTTATTTATTTTTATGCAGTACTAAGGATCAAACCCAGTACATCACACAGGCTAAACAAATGCTCTGACTGAGCTATAACCCCAGCTTCTACATGCTTGTTGTGTGTGTTTTATTTAGAGACACAAGGTGGATTACAAAAATAAAGTGCTTAAAATTTTGAGTCACCACTCCAATATTATAGATTGTGACAAGTCATAGATTATAGAAAATTCACTCTTCTATGCATTACTTAAAATGGAACACTGTGTAAAAAATTTGGCTGATCCATATAGGGACTATACACTGACAGAATCAGAGTGATGTCAATGATGTCCCATATACCTGGATTCATTAGAATTATTAAACAGTGAAAGAGAATTGATATTAGAGAGGTTCAGACATTCAGTTAGTGAGGTAATTATCTTACAAACAGAATTACAAGATCTTTCAATCTTGGGTTCTTTTGAAGTAAACTGGCCAGAAGTTCAGATGTCAGGAACTCCTTTCCAACTCTAAGATTGTATTATCTCAAGGGTTTCCACAGATTCTACCAACATCACAAAATTTAACTAGTTAAAGAGTAAAAGTTCAAGTTTTATCAGCATTCACTGTATTTACATTATTATTCTGATTTTAAGTAGAACTGAGTATTTACAGTCAGACAAACAAAATATTCCAAAACAGTCTAACTGTAATGTGGTGACTTATCTTCATATGGTTTTAAAACACAAAATGCTTTAAGTTCAGACATATCACCCCAAATATGGCAAAATAGTATACTCTATCCATACTGGATATGGGAACCTTATATTTAAATATATATTCCATAATATTTCCTGAGGTATAATAAAAGCCCTAATCTTCTTTCCACAGAATTAACAAAATCAGAAAGATACTTCTCACACCACTAAAAATTTAAAAATTTAACTTGTTCATAATTCTTGTACATGGATTGCCTGCTACTATCTTGATTTAAATTTCACTGTAAAGAAGAGAACAAATGTGGAAAACTTAAATTTCATAAAACTTTTTATTATACATTATTACACAACAGCTTTTGTTTTCAGGTTAAAAAGTAAAATTTTAGTAAATCCGACACTTGTAGGGCTTAATATATAACACTGTCAACATGATAATAAAGAGATTGAATCTTTCTTAAAATTTTAGAAACTTTTACAGGATGGAAATCCCTAGTCCAAAAATAAAAAATCCAGAGTGTTCTAAAACCTGAAATTTTTTTGAGCAGTGATATGACATCACAAATGGAAAGATCTATACCTGACTTTATGTAATGAGTTGTAGTGAAAAAAACTTTAAAAATATTTAATCAACAAAAAAGAGAGATAACAGAGATATAAAAAACCAAAACAAATTTATAGAAGAGAGCAGAAACACAGCAATCAAATAGAACTGGAAAGTAGCGTGAACATCATGAAAAAACAAGGGAAAAAAGGAGTACAAACAATGCAGGAAAACTTAAATCTACAGGAGGACCTAGAAGCATCAGAAACAGGGATAGGGAAAGAACTCAAGGCATAGCTAACTCAGATGGAAAGGAATATTAGAGAAGACATGAGACAGCAAGTCCAAGCAATAAAAGTATATTTTGAAAATGAATTAAACAAACAAATTCAAATGGCAAAGAACGAGCTTTACCAGGAGATAGAGATCTTAAAAAAAAAATCAAACAGTAATCCTAGAAATGCAGGAAACTATAAACCAAATTAAAAACTCAAACGAGAATATTACAAATAGACTAGATCAAGTAGAAGTCAGAACATCAGATAATGAAGACAAAGTTTATCAACTTGAAAAGAATATAGTCAACACAGAAAAGATGCTTAAATCCCACGAGCAATCTATTCAAGAGATATGGGATGTCATAAAAAAACCAAATCTGAGAGTCATCGGGATAAAAGAAGGCACAGAGAATCAAACCAAAGGAATGGACAACCTATTAAATGAAATAATTCTAGAAAACTTCCCAGAGATGAAAGATGGAATGGATTGCCAAATCCTGGAAGCCTACAGGACCCCAAACATTCAAAACCATAATAGACCAACTCCAAGACATATAATTATGAAGATAGCCAACATACAGAACAAGGAGAGAATATTAAAAGCTATGAGAGAAAGGAGGCAGATTACATTCAGGGGTAAACCAATTAGGTTAATGACTGATTTTTCATCACGGACTTTGAAAGCGAGAAAATCCTGGAACAATGTATTTCAAACGCTGAAAAATAATGGATTCCAACCAAGAATACTGTATCCAGCAAAATTAAGCTTCAGATTTGAAAATGAAATTAAAATCTTTCACGATAAACAAAAGCTAAAAGAATTCGCAGCCAGAAAACTAGCACTGCAAAGCATTTTGAGCAAAATACTACAAGAAGAGGAATTGAAAAATAGTGCCCAAAACTAACAGCAGGAGGTGTCTCAGTAAAGGGGGAGGAAAATAACCAAAAAGTAAAAACTAGCCAAACTAAAATAAATAAATAAATAAACATGACTGGAAGTACAAATCATATTTCAATTGTAACCTTAAATGTTAATGGCCTAAACTCACCAATCAAGAGACATAGGCTAGTAACCTGGATCAAAAAAACAAATCCAACAATATGCTGCCTTCAGGAGATTCATATGATAGGAAAAGACATACACAGACTGAAGGTAAAAGGTTGGGAAAAATCATATCACTCACATGGCCCTCGGAAGCAAGCAGGAGTGGCCATACTCATATTGAATAAAATCAACTTCAAACCTAAGTTAATCAAAAGGGATGAAGAAGGACACTATATACCGTTAAAAAGGAACCATCCACCAACAAGACATAACAATTATCAATTTGTATGCACCAAACAATGGAGCTGCATCGTTCATAAAACAAACTCTCCTCAAGTTCAAGAGTAAAATAGACTACAACACAATAATTATGGGTGACTTCAACACACCGCTCTCACCATTAGACAGATCCTCTAGACAAAAGCTGAATAAAGAAACTATTGAACTCAATAGCACAATCAATAACCTAGACTTAACCGACATATATAGAATATATCAACCATCATCAAGTGGATACACGTTCTTCTCAGCAGCACATGGATCCTACTCAAAGGTAAACCATATACTATGCCATAGGGCAACTCTTAGTAAATATAAAGGTGTGGAGATAATACCATGCACCATATCTGATCATAATGGAATGAAACTGGAAATCAATGATAAAACAAGGAAGGAAAAATCCTACATCACATGGAAAATGAACAATATGTTACTGAATGATCAATGGGTTACAGAAGACATAAAGGAGGAGATAAAAAAAATCATAGAGACAAATGACAATACAGACACAACATACCGGAATCTATGGGACACAATGAAAGCAGTTTTAAGAGGGAAATTCATTTCTTGGAGTTCTTTCCTCAAAAAAAGAAAAAAACCAAGAAGTAAATGAACTCATACTACACCTCAAAAACCTAGAAAAGGAAGAGCAAAATAACAGCAAATGTAGTAGAAGACAAGAAATAATTAAAATTAGAGAAGAAATCAATGAAATTGAAACAAAAGAAACCATTGAAAAAATTGAAAAAACTAAAAGTTGGTTCTTTGAAAAAATAAATAAGATCGACAGGCCCTTAGCCATGCTAACGAAGAGAAGAAGAGAGAGAACTCAAATTACTAACATACGGGATGAAAAAGGCAATATCACAACAGACACTACAGAAATACAGAAGATAATTAGAAAGTATTTTGAAACCCTATATTCCAATAAAATAGAAGATAGTGAAGATATCGATAAATTTCTTAAGTCATACGATCTGCC